AAATAGAGTATCTGGTTTTTTTTTGAGATTTAAAAAATGATGTACGTATCGAGTATAGTAACGTATTTCATAATTATCACTAAACGCCAACTGCAACTGAATGGTAAAAAACATTTATGTAAGCGTTCGTTATTCGATTACTTTGATGACCGCACTACTCTGAAACTCTACTGCGATCCAATACTCATCATTCTAAATATTATAGGTTTCCAATTTAATTTAGTTTGTTATATGTAGTTAAGCTATATACAAGAATACTGCAAGTAGACGTGAAAAGCTAACATACATTAACATACATTACAGTTTAAGCAAAAAAGTTCTTATAAATGTTGGAGGCGCTCTATTTAAAATTTACAAGGTATTAAAAATTAAAAAAAATATATACATAATTGCGAGTTTTCCGTTAACGGCAGTTAGAATTTTAAGCATTTACCGGCCAATTATGATAGAAATAGTTTATTTGAACTTTTGCTTAAAATCAACTGCTGTATGTATGGGTTTAATATGCGTTTAACTCTGACTCATAGCAATCTTTAAGAAACCTTAATTAAATAAACCATTTTTCTTTTGAAAAAGGCGCGACGTACAAATAGAGCTAGAGCTTTTCTTTGGTGAACAAAGACATCAAAAATGATTTTTATTTTATAAAAATAAACGCGCGCCATTTCATTCTGATTTGAATAATGGAATAATTTTGCATTTTTAGTGCAAAACATATGATCACTTGCCGAATTTCGTGAAAATACGAATGGCGATTTCAAAAAATGTTGAAAGTTTATTTTTCTACAGTTTAACTTTTAAACTTATAGTTCCCGAACTTTTTGATTCAATGCTGTCGCTTATCGGTCAATAGATAGTGACAGGGAAAAACAATTTTTTTGCACCAATGTTTCGGTTATATTTAAGCCACATCGGGGCTCCCAGCAGCCATTGACCCAATAAGGTTTTTTCCCTGCCACTATTAACAGAATGTCCCCAAGCACCGATTATCATCACGGTCACCAAGATTTCCAACAATAATTTTTGCTTAAATTCTCCTTCAATTAAATTCAGAAAAGAAAATGTTGAATTTCCCAAGTATGGTTTTCATATGGCACTTTAATCCGGATTCACCTTGTACATGTCTCTATAACTTTAATCATTTTATCTATACTTAGTGTGATTTCACACTCAACCTTCATCAGCTGCAATGAATTTCTACTGAAATCACGTCGTTTAAAGTAAGTAAATAGTCAGAAACAGCTGTTCTGTACTCTTTTCTTTTTAACTAGAAACTAAAACAAACTTGCGTCGACTGCTAAAATCTATTTCCAGATATTAATGTAAATATGTAGATAAGTTAATTATATGTATATGTCGCTGGCTTATTGTAAAATGAATCGTATAATACGCCTAGGCTTTTGCAATACGACATGGCCCGTTGTAATCCTATCCAAATATCACAATTTGATCATTTTGGGCGTATTTTAACAGATCGACAGGCCGTTTGTTAGTTTTAGGCTTAATTTCATTGGTCAACTCCCCCGCTTAAAGCCTGCTTCACACTTGCTATATAACGTTGGTTTATAGCCAAGTTGCATAGCATTAGAGCAGTTAGAGATTTTATAACAAAATATAGCAAATGTTCCTGCTATATAACTTGCCACATGCTATCCATCGTTTGTCGGTAAAGATCAAAGAAAATCGTACAACAATGTTATTCTAACATGTAGCAACACGTCCAGACTTGCAATATGCGGTTTTAATTATTAGTAAACCTATAGCAAAGATCAGTGGCGGTCGTGTAGTTTTCCATATTTTCTGTACAAAATGGAGTTAGAAAATGATCAGTGGAATAAAGGAAGTATTTCGATATAATAGAATTATACAGAGTACGTTTAGAATGATGGGACACCCGAAGTCCATTGTTTAAATTAAAACTTAAGGCGCAATTAATGATATTAATTGTTTAGAAATTTTAAACAGTTACATTAAGGTATGATAGAAGTCTTCGGTAGCAAAAAACTGTAGTCACTGCCAGATGTGCCATGATAGATACTGCATCTCTCAATCGTGTGTCCATTTTGCGTATTTTTGGATCAATTAGGGTTAATAGATATTCAAAATCTGCATCTGCTCATTCTACAAAATTTTTCAAAGCTTCCCCTACATGCCAGGCCTCGATTTAAAGAACCACTATCATATCTTGTCATCATGTCATCATGTAAAATATCACTTCGACTATATATGTTTTTCGACCTCAGGGTAGGACGAATGCAAAATCTTCTTTCTCGCCTTTCCTTGTTTCCATTGCGTCTTCAAAACTAATAACACACGCCCCTGCAGCAAGCAGCGCTTGTTTTTCACTCCACGAGTTTATCATAACTAATTTAAGTGTGAACAAACCTCAGATATTTCAACATCTAGCATATAACATTGTTATATGACAATGTTATGCTACATGTTATCAAGTGTGGATCCTACTTAAGAATAAGAAAAGTGTCTCACATTTAACTTTAAAGTCGGATTTTCATCTATGCAATTCGTTGCAGCATGGTATAGCTCACCATTTTATTGCCGTAACTCTGTTAAAACTGCCAAAACTCTGCCAAAACTGTCAGTTCTAGATTATAATATTGTTAGTAATTGATGCTACATCAGCACTTATTTTGATAAGAAATTTTTTTGTGAGTGAGACCGTGAAACAAGTAACAAGAAAATAACCCCGAAAGATTTATTAGTTTATTGCATAATGAATCGGCGGTATTTGCTCAAGGCAATTTTACAAATTCTATGAGAATGAACGAAGCAACATTCTAGGATTTTTCACACAAAATTGAAAAAAAATCTTAAAGGAAGACACGAAGTTTATATACATAACATATATACGTTATATACATAGAATACAATAACGTTGAGGTACCATACAATGGTCGAATCATAAGTATATCGTTCCAACTCGGAGGGGGACACTTTCCTATTGCTGCCAACAAAACTTAAAAATTGCAACAAACCCTGAAGTTGCGTCTGAATAATTGATTATTTAAACATAACATTACTGTCTGTCTACATCTGAATTACATATCATCTCATATCCCTTATGCTCTATTCCACTTTATAAACGCAACACATGCCCTATATGCTTTATGCTTTGTTTCTATTCCTAGTGCATAAACGTTTGCATAATAGACGTGAGGCGTATATATATATAATAGGCTTGAATTTATCAGTCAATCAATCGTTAAAGAAGCCTCGGCGTATTGTATTACAACTGATTTTGCAATAAGCTAGGATGGAAACAAACAAAATTTTCATTAAAACTTTAAAAGTAATACAGTTACTTCAATAGTTATCAAATGCTCTTTAAATTTTGTTATAAAAACTTTAATGTCTTTAACTGTCATACTAACTTCTTGTGATTTGCAAGCTTTTATATTATTTCACAAAATTAGTTTAGCTTCAGAAAATTGTTTAAAGTTAATAACGAGCGAGTGGATACGTTGCTTATTTACCAGGAATGCGTAAGATGCGACAGCAGCCACTAGGATTTACGCAGAACGTTGAGAATTTTCCTCAAAGTTTAATAATTTTTTAATGACCTAAAAATGCTGGTGATTTGAGGAAACATCGTGAAAGACGATCAAGAATACTTATAGCTGTAAATGTGCTGCGGGAGGAACAAATTATAAATGTTGTTGAGGAAGATCCAACAACAAAAATTTGAGTGATTGCATATGATCTCAAAATAAGTCACAAAAAAGATACGGCTCACTTGTTCGGCTCAAAATTTTAGTAGACCTTTTCAACCAGGCGGACAAAATAAATTTGCATTTTTTTCTGCAATATTGAACATTAGACGAGGCATGTGACTTAAGGCAGGATGACGCTCCAGTTTTTGCAAAATGCATGTTGCAGGCCGCAACAACAATCAGATAAAACCCGATTTTCTTATTACAAACCGTTAAAAAATAGCCGTTGTGTCGAGCGGAACGTTGTGTTTAAGTTAATGGTGACAACTTTGAACACATTCTTCAAAGTTAGGCAGAATCGTCGACTTATTTTGCGTAACATTGATGTAACTGTCTCATTTCTAAGTTTCTGCAAATAAGTTATTTTGTGGTTTGAAAATATGGCGGCTATTGGTATTGAAAATAACACATTTAGCGGCAACGTGTTCAAAGTAATTTACTACTTACTTACAAATTAAGCTGAAACTCATGATTAGGTAAGGATCGATCACAGATAGGAAGAAAACACTACGAATCCTGTACGAGTCAGTCTATAAATTCAACTATTTCTAATTTCTAATCTAATCTAATCTCATGAATTGTTGAAACTGATCTAAATATTCATGCAATCTTCACAATGCAATTAATATAAGCAACAAAAATTAAAAAGTATGTACGACAGGTCAGTTACACAGGACACCTGTAGATTAACAGCATTTTTTTTGGTTTACGCAATGTGTAGTAGAAAACGCGTGACACGTCGGCGAACTTAAAAGGTAATTTCTTCTTGTTACCTTGAATGGTGTCCAGTAACTAGGTACTGAGAGCAATCATGTACGGCATTCCATATTGGATCATTCAGGGTTCTCTCAGAACTGTATAATAATACGGTTATATTCACTAAATGTATCAATTTATGTCAAAAATCGTCATTTATACGTGGCACTATAAAGGATATTTGGCAAAAGAAGATTAATATTTTCGCTCAGCCGATAAGTGCCACATACATACACAGTTTGTTTCCTCATTAATTTGCAACCATAGGATTTTAAGATAGAACTGGTTAAACTGTGTTCATTTAAATAAACTTTATGGGCTGCAGTCAAGCTTAGTTATGCGTCTTGTGTAGATAAGGTACTTATTTGCACTAAAATTGTATTTTTGTAGAAAACAATTGGATAGTTAGACTTGCCTGCCAGATTTTTGGATTCAAACCTTATTTGATAAAATAATCGATGGTTAAAATTATTTATATCTTTACAAGTACAAAATTATATAAATAATACAAATATGTACATGAAATAATTATTTTTATTTGTCGATTATTTATATGTACATTATACAATTCAGAAACAAATTCGGTTGAGTCGAATTCATAATTACAACATTTAGGTTTTTTATTTTGTTCCCAAAGCAAGAATATAAAAATCCCAGCGATAAAAACGTGAGTAACTTCAATTCATAACCTCACTGCACATCAGTTTCCATTGAACAACAATTATACTTTCTGCAACAATTATACATAACTATATAACGGTCATTCAACTGGAGCCAATGCATTTCAACTTTAGAAAAATTAAATAACTATTTCGTTGGTTATTTCAAAGGGCGATTATTATCTAAGGAATAATCAAACAAACAAAAGATGTATAGGAAAGACATGTTTTAAAATTACTTGTTAAGCACAAGCTTAAAATAGTAACATATTATTATAAGGTCATCTGTATTGTCTTTTCATGTTGTGACGCATCACTTTTAATCCAGTCGGATTAGATTTTCCTAGGTAATAAATATACCTACAATATGAGACAAACTAAATTAAAATCCGTTTATTTATTTACTCAGAAGACAAAAAAACCCGCCGTTTTCTTGAGTTTTTTTAGTTTTCCATAAATTATTTAGTTTTGCTACTAGATAATCTTACTATAACGTTTATTCAAGATCTTTGTACACTTTATAAGTGGTATAAATTTTAGCGTAAAATATTCATAAATTTTTGTTCATTCCTATTTCGTATGTTGGAAGGAAAAGTTGATTACTGAACGTAAACTGTAAACTGTTTAAACGTTAAGTTGAAAATCAGGAATTTTTTATTTCTTTTAAATTGTTTTCAGATAAAATTTCCACATCGATTATTTAATTGCTAAGATTTTTATGCAAATTTTAACCGTGTTATTATTGCTCTACGCCGATCTGCAGCTGAGATCATTTTTTCCAAAATATTATTGCGGCTTTGTTTATTAATATTATGAGCTTAAATTTACGGGTGGCCTACAGTAAGAGTTAAACTATCATATCTGATATTTGAGTAACAATAAATGTGAATATTTGAGATGAGTTGGCGACAAAAGCGACAGCGCGATATTGTTCAAAAGTTATGCATTTTTTGCACTTTCTATGATTATTTAAACAATGTTTCACAGTCGGATATCACGCTCAAACTATTGTCCCAATATTCTGTTCTTCTATGCTATCTTTTACCTTCATTCATTAAGTGCCCTAGACAGGCCTTTTAAAATCGAATCTGACTGGATTAGTTTACCAACTAGCGAGACTGGGCGTCTAACTATCTGGCTCGATCTCGTCTTGAGAGACTCATTCAAGGTGGCTTAACAACATCAATGAAAACCCACACAAATATGTTGAGCAACTGAAAACAATTCGATTTGGTCAACAATAAATTAATCAGTTTCTCTGTTAAAAGTTCTTACACAATTATTCAAATGGCGGGATCAGAGATTTCGCTTAAGATAATTTGAAAATTGGCGGTGCCTTTCTGAACAGAACCTGTCCGCGGATACATGCAAGTTTTTCACTTTCAAGGGATAGATAAGTTTCACGCTCAGATGAGCTTTCCAATGTTTTCGTTCCTCTCACTAATGATAATTAAGATTTACATTCGAAACATACGCATTTATATAGGAAGTGACAAACAGCTTCCCAAACTCCATCATCTGCATCAACCATAAAATTAATAGTGGACGAGAAGTTGTACTAGAAAACATGCAACCACAAACATAAAACAGCAGTATACAGAAAATCTACACACAAGGCAAAATTCAGGCTCCGAGTTCCACAAAGCACGCGAAAATATGTCAAATTAAATTTAGGATCGTTTCATTAACTCCTGAATGAGAAACTTGAATCTGCTTTGCGACAACCGCAAATAAACCAAAAACGGTGAAATCAGACTTTTTATATATGATCGTTGAAGGCCAATGCGAGGTTTCATTTTAGTAAGCATTTTAGTAAGCAGGTAATTCTGTAATTTGTATAATCTAAAAATTATTCTCTAAGTAAATAGTACAACCACCACCCAGTGCACAAAATATAAAATTAATGTATAAACACGCTTTATTCAAATAATACATTTAAAAAAATATATTACACCATTAAATTATTTTTAATTTGCTTTTATTGTTTGATCAGCTTTTGTCATCAAATAAATTATATAAGAAATATTTAAACCATAATTGTGAAGCATGGCAATGTCTTACGTTGAAGTACTTCGAAAATTTGTCGACGTTACCATGACCTCGTAAAAATCCCGAAATCTTAGTCATCTAACAAGCATCCTTCTTTGCATGTAACCATTTATTTATATCTATTTAGAAATCATTTAAAAATTTAGCGATGGATCTAAACAGCTCTTAAAATAATTAAATCGGCTGATGCAAAAATTACGTTATCCTTTTTAAGGAGTTACGAGGCGTTCCTAACCGCAATACGCTGTAACGCTAAATTTTTTATCCGCAAATATCTGCTTTAAATCTTGGTCACTGCTACGCTTTATCGTAGGTATAAAAAGTGACTAATAAAAACGTAATTATTCCAAATAGAAAACAAGCAATGATTTAAGCAGGTTTTGCAATCTTTTATTTGTAATTAACTGTATCTACTATTTATCTGGAAATGGCCATCGGAGTACTTGAAATCATTGCTGAAAACTTTCGAACGCTAATATTTTTGCAAATATACGAAGACAAATGCATCAGCACCACAACCGCGATAAAAAAGTTAGGAATCTCCCTGCAGACTTACTAACACAACGGAAAACTAAACAATAAATGCAGAAACCAAAACAAATTGCATCAAGACTTGCTACAAAAATGAGGCAGTCGCAAACTTGAATAAGAACGCACACAAATTACAAAAATAACTGAAAGGCTGGTAGAAATCCAGGCTTACCCAGTATTAAAAAAATTCTTATTACAATCGCTAAAAGCAACCGTTTTTTTGMGGAAAATGCAATTGAAGTAATGTGTACGTCRACATYGTTYTTCACATTTTTTTCCATTATCTGCAAATCAGGGGCGGATTCAGCTTGRAAGTCAGSGTGGTCATATAGTACAAAGATTATGCYAAAATTTCWTRTTTTTCGTCCCGTTTTTGCTCATTTCTCKGAAGTAAAATGAGGAAGAAATTYCACGAAATTGAGYCACAGAATTCGTTTAKGCATCGTTGGATAGATAATTGAAAATCCGATTCAGTCATATCATAAGTGAGGAAGCTCAAGTAGTTTAGACCCATAAAGCGAAACTTGAATATCAGACACTTAAGTGCAAGAGTATGCCAAAATTGCAYGTTTTTCGTCCCGTTTTTTCGTTTCGCTTCCGAGAAATGAGCAAGAAGGCTCATTTTTACATCATTCCAGAGATAAATAAATGGCCTTTTTAGAAAGTGCACCATCGATAGGGAAATGTTGACAGTTTTCTCAAAAATATGTTGATTTCAAAAAGTTTTAGATTTGCGTGTTTTGTTAGAGTTGCAAAATCGACTGAAACAGGACGCTGCTTTTTAGAAGAAATCCGCCATAACAACATGAGTGAGCAAATTCGAGTAGTCCTCCTCTGCTGCAAATGAGCCTCAATAACCCAATCGAGGCCAAGTCATTGTTAGTTAATAATATATTTTCTGAACTATTTTCATTTGTAACTAATTATCAACGACAAAATAATGCGTTAATCTCTACAGCACCTTTGACGTGGGATGTATCCCGTTTACATTATATGTAAATAAAAAATATTTCTGTTTTCTCATAATTGTTGCATCCGACGATAACTCAGATAATGCTTTACATATTATATAAAAGCAATGGAGCAAAGGAGACGAACTTCTGCACAATCAAATCTTATGACTCCCACTTTGAGGTAACAATGTTTGTGTAGATCAGGCAGTTTTTAAATATATAACTGATGCAACAAACAGAAATGGATGCTGCTACCATCCCTGCAAAGCAAGATACAAAAATAGACGTGATGCGAACGTTCTAATTATCGAAACAGTTATCGATGTATCGGAACGAGAAGACACCGCTGTCTTCATTCGAAAAGACATTGATCTGCTTGTTTCTTTATTTCTTTCTTTTATTTTCTTTATTAGAGAATCACTGAAACATTTTCATAAAGAAAATTGACACGAGTGTTATAGAAACACTAGTGAATGCGCCTGAAAGCTGTAAAAAATATCCGCACTGGAATCAACTTTTCTACTTGTCAAACATACGATTCTTACTTTTTTTACGAAAGAACAATAACCATTTGTTAAAAAAACTGCGTTATATTTTCAGTTCCTGTAAACTTAAAATGTAAACATATGTCGCACATGCATAAAATTTCCAGCTTTTGGAAAGCCGCTAAATGTATAAAAAATAATATTGGAAAGCCGCTAAGTGTAGTTCTGGGAAAACAGTAATATAATAAAAGTACCTAATATGGTTTAAATTACAGCTTTTTGTTTCAGGAACTCATTTGAAAAACAAGTATCTTATATCCCTTTCGTGTAGATTTTGAAATGCATATTAACCTATTAAATAAAATCACTGAGCCGATTGGCACCGTTGCTCTTATTACAGTCACATGCCCCGGATAATATGATTCAAGCGAATAGTGGATACAACTTAGCCAAAACGCTAAAGTTCATTATTCGTCCAGTCAATCATCCAAAGTCTAAAGCTGGTTATTAGCATGACCAACTCATATGATGCTTTTGCATGTCTATTCTTGACAATTTAGAACTAGCATGCCCACTATTAATTTTAGCGATTTACAAATCATTATGTTAATGAGATAAACCAGTCTGCTTTACACTATTTCCATAGGATGAATCATGTGTGCAACATTTGCCACTTGGTGGACATTCAACACTAAAGCTCTAGTATATGGTGGAATATAAATGAATTTGTCTCTGATGTGAATGTCCGATGTCTGCGATTATCCGTGTAGTGAATAATGTTATTAGTCTTATCGCCAATTGGATGTCTGTCACGTCAAAGCTAGATGATGCAGAGTCTCATCGTTCGAAGAAGTGCGTTACTTAACCAATAATAATGATTGAAAGTCCAACTTTTTCGTTCAGTTAATAGAATTATGATTACCCGTAACAAATAAAACACGTAGGTATAAAACAAATGCAAAAAATATTTAAACCTTCTATTACGACCCACCAGCCAATTTAATTTCGTAATGTATCAATACGAACCAAAACAAGCACATTTTCACTGCAAAAAATTTACAAACGTCGAATAAATGCCAGTTCCTTAAAGCTTTATTGCGACAATCTAGGAGTGATTAAATAGAAAAAGTTGTTTTAAATTGGAATGACATCAACACCTAAAGGAGCAAGAAGTTTTTTTGGAGTAACTGAACAATAATTAAACAGTCTGGGATTTCAATTTATTGTTCAAGACACAAAATCACCCTGTATAATCCCAACAAAACTTCAGCTAATATGTAATTCACAAAACATAATCAAACTTGATTCATGGAAATACGCACTTTTATCAAATTGATATCGACGTTAATCGGTATCAGTAAAATATGTTTATCAATTACATCCAGTAAATTGCTTTTTCCCCGAACAAACTTATAACGTCATTATTAGAACAGTTTGATTTGCCCAAACCACTTAACTTGCTTCAAATTTGTTTGTAGACTTCGAATATTTTCAAACTACACTGATGTGTATCTTAATACACTTAGCATAGGTATACGCCAACTGCTTTTGAACAGGGGAGCTGACCTGTATTTTGTAGTTATTATAGCTCCCACGCTTAAGTAAAAAATGGTACATTACAAATAAGTAATGAAAATGTATACCTAAACGATTCTGATTTCATTAATAATTAAATATATTTGATTTATTAGTATTACTAGATATAGTGACGACTTTTTGTTGGGTAATTAATTGATTAATTCTAGAGGGAAGGAGTTGGAAGGTCGGTCGGTAGTCAACAGCGTTAAAAGAAATTTGAATATCTAAACAAAATAAATTAAAAAGTGTGGAATCTATTTTTCATTCAAGCCAGTTGCGTGTGGTTTTCGGAATAGAGATCAATAAATAACAAGTCATTATCAACACCTGCCGGCGCTCTGCTAATTTATATCAGCTTTATCAAAACTTTAGGATTTAAAATCCAGACTACAACAGCGTCAAAATAGAATAATCTAGTTAGTTATCAAGATATAATTCATTTTTAGCAATTGGGTTGTCCGTATCTAATGAGTGTGGGTTGATACATTGAAAATTACAAGCAATGTTAATTTTTCCGATCCCAATCGTTTACCCGATAGCCTCATTTTAATTTTTAATTGACGAACATTATTAGTGCCATTGTCGTTGATTTATTTGTCGAAAAAGGGACTTTTACCCCTCTAAACCCCTAAACAGAAAGGAAAGTTCAGTAAGCCAGAATCCTAAAATTTCCCCAGAAATGAAATTAAGATTAGATAAATCAGGCGTTTTGGTACCTAGCCTTCCAATTTACCTATTAGAAAGGACCTCATCTAGAAACTGAAACCTGAACCTAAAATTTTCAAAGTTATTAACAAATCCGGAGCAAAACCGGCTGCACGTTCTAACAGTAACTTTAAGCGAGAAAAATACATTATCACTTTTATGCTCCCACGTTTCATCTCTCTAAAATCCCTTTTTTATTCTAAATTCAACGATACATCTGTTAAGGTTTAGCTATAGAGTTACTTAGTAATTAGGAATTTGTGTTTTAAATTATCGTGTGTTATTTTAAATTATCGTAAGTTTGTGAACACAATTTTGAACACTTGTGAGTTTAGAGATAAAAACTTAGCAGACTAAATTAGTAAACATATTAAAAAACTACAAGATTCATTTTACGAAATTAAACCGTGATAACAAATCAGAATCATCCGTATTTAAAATAAGATGTTTTGATCAAAAACGCATTCTGATAGAAGCACATTATTCCGAC